TTGCTTCTCCGGTGTTTCATGGCTCCGGTTTCGGTGAAAGTCTTACTACGACGAAATGAATGCATGAGGAATTGAAAGAGTGCTGATGGAAGCCGATGGAAACGAAGGGAAACGGAAGGAAATATAGAGTGGGAAAAAGTAAATGAAAATAATTACGTAAGATATTGTTTTAGTTTATTATTTTATCTTTTGTTTAATTAGGGTTAGGTAAGAAGGGTTTTTCTTCAAGAAACTGGCCAGGGTTTCTGGTTGAAGGGTAGTTGTTTTTCTTTTTCATATATATATATATATATATATTAAGATCAACCTATACAATGTAAAACTCGAACTGAATAGTGAAAATATGGCTAAGATTGATTCATTATTTTTTTTCTAGTGAATATTATATATATATATATCGACCAAAATCCAAAATTGACTGATCTAATTTAACCATTAAAAAAAATCGACCCGAACCTGATAACAAAAAAACGACTCTACCAAATCGAGTTGGTCAAAATATGTCGTTTTCATATTAAATTATCATCTCTAATTGTAGTTTTTTATTGTTATATTTATTGATTGATTTTTGTTATAAATATTTGCATCTTTAACTACTTTGTTTGATTGAAACAATCTGAGGTAGAAAAGCGAAGTGAGGAGTGAAATCGAAGGTTTGCCAAGTTGGTCTTTATCTACCAAAGATTAGACATGGAAGGTGTAGTGTTGAATTTTCTGTTAATCAGATGTTTGATATGGAAGCTTCATCTGACACGAAAATATGTTGTCTATCAGATATATATCCCCATGGAAAGTTAAAAGGCTGTTTCTTATATGTGAGGTCAAATACTAAATTTTTGGATTTTAAAACTCAACTCGATTAATTTGATTCAACTTGTATAAAGTACATATACGGTGTATAATTAATGAAATTTTATCTGGTAAATTATATGTCGAATCATGATTGTTATTCCGTGGGGCTGTCCAAAATATAAAATTTTGCAGTTACAGCAACCATTTTTGGACCACAGCGAAGCTTAGACTTTCGGGCAGAGATTTTTTTTTAAGAAAACAACAGTGTTGGTTTGAAATAAACAAATAAAAAATGCCAGCATGTTTTTGCCAGAACAGTCCAAACAAAAATATTAATTTTGGATACCATAAGCATGCATTATTTGTTAACTATTAACCCTTTTATTTAAAAATAAAGATTCAGATAATGTTGGGACATAAATTAATTAATATTGAAAATACCACGAATAATGAACATACGTCCCTCACATATTCTCTTAACCTAACATTATAATGTGATTCCATTGAATAAATCAAAATTACAAATTTTCAATGTAATAAACATAACATATGTATGAGAAGAATAATGAACTGGATAAGTTTGGTTGAATTTCCGGTTAATTTAGATCAGGTCTTTTAAATTTAAAATTTTTTGAATTATTTTGGATGAGCTATTTTTTGAGTTTGATTTCTATGGATTAGGTTTAGTTTGGTATTATAGTCATTTTAGTTACTTATTTGAATCATTTTAAATTTAATTATTTCAAGTTTGATATAGTTTTAGATTTAGGGTTTAGGGTTTATTTTTTATGAATTATACCATGCATGGTGGTTTAATAAAACGTATCTCCCCGACTGGCCTTCCGTTAGTCAATAACGCCAACAAATCCAAAAGGGTACATATTTTGACATAATTATTTATTCATATTGTATTTTTAATTATTTATGCTTTCGATACCTTATCTAAAATGGAATAAATTAATTTAAAATTTCAACAAAAAAAAAAGCTTAAATTCCAAATTATTAGTAACTTTATGTTTGAGAAAGGTAAAGACCAAGGAACCCTTGATTTATTGGTTTATTTCTTCATTTGGGAGAACAAAAGGAATCATAAAAGTGAATTTAGGGCTTGTGTAGTTTCTCACTTTACTCTCTGTTGGTGAACCATCACTTGTATTCCAAGCCAAGGCACCTATACTCAGTGTAACATACAATACCTTATGAAGGAAAACAGATCTTTACACTCTCTTTAAGTTAACTTCTAGCTTCACTATAAAATACTTTTATTTTGAATTTTAAAAATAATAAATTATTTAATAAATATAATTTTATATTAACATTTATGTATTTTAATAATTAAATTTTAGACACCATTAAGTGGCCTCAATGGTAAAAGGAAATGTTGTTCTCCGTAGATAACTCGAGTTTGAGCAGTTGTATCTGTAGTGTATGTGTACATTATGAATAACTAAATGAGATTTTATACATATATTACCTTATAATTACCTCAGGTTGTTAAAAAAAATTTACATTAACTTATGTTACAGAACGATGCTCTAATATTATCTAAATTTGTATTATCCAAGTAAACTTTTTTTTTTTTTTTGAATATTTACGAATATAATAATCCATGCTTTCTGTTTTCATCCTTATTTGATTATATTAGAATAATAAGTTCTATCAAAAGCCCAAAGTCATGCGATGGCAAATAGGCTCAATTACTAAACGTAAAAGTACTAGAAGCCCCAATCTCGTATTTAATCGGATTGATTTTGGGCCTCAAGGAAGCCTAGTTTTGAGCCCATTCTTCTTCCCATGTAAACTAATATTTGGGTGGGGTGAATGAATCTCATATCATCCTTATCTATATTGTTCAGTTTTAATATAAAGTAATAGTTTAATCTTTTTAAAATATATTTAAGCAATGAAAAAATTAGTTGATAATATGTAAATCTCATACAATAGACGATTTGGACGGATTTACAAAAACGATTAAGATGAGCCCAAATCCTACTAAGGAAATAATATATTATCACATCAATTACAATATTATTATCCCTAGATAGATTATCACACTGATTATGACAATATTCTTCTAAAATATCATTTTTGCTTTTCATTTTTTTTCAAGGTAAATATGAACTTATTTTCTAACATTTTTCAAGGATCGGACGAAATTTAATAGTTTAGACAAATCTAACACTTTGTACAGTACCTCTTTAACAAATATGAAAATTAAAATTAAGAGTATTCGAATTAGAAACGCAACATAATTACATATGGATATTAAAATTAAAATCGAAACAAAATTCAAATAACAAATTAAAGTTGTATATGTTAGAAACTAAAATAAAATATTCTAAAACTGTTACCATGATTTTTCTTGATTTTTCATCTATATGAAAAGGTAATTTTCTCATCAATTATAAAGAAAATGACTCTCCACATAAATTAAGCTCTAAGTAACTATGGGTAAAATATACAAATGGTTCACTTAGTATAGGATATTATTTTGTCAAGTCTTCAACTATTGAAAGTTACAAGATGATCTCTTAATTATATGGTGTTGTTTCGTTGAGTCTCTCTACTATTAAAAGTTACAAAATAGTCACTTGATTATTTATAATATTCCAAACTCGTCATTTTCTGTTAAAAAATTAATGGTTGTCTGAGCTGAATGTTAACATGTTGATTGGGATATGATATTCGTTTGAGATTATGAGATCATATTTTATCATATCTCAATTAGCAGGTTAACGACCAACTCAAATTATCGTCAATTTGTTAACGAAAAAGGATGAGTTTAAAACATATGAATAATCGAATGATCATTTTGTAACTTTTAATAGTCGATGGACTCAACAAAGTAAGACCTTATAGTCAGGATATCATTTGTGTAGTTTATCCATATATATATATATATATATATATATATATATATATATATATATATACACGTTAAATGTTGGAATCGTATTCCAATCAATTAAATTATTTTAAAAGGGAAACTTTTCTTCTTATCAAATATGATTTTTATGTCAATTAAATTAAAACTTAATAAAAATATTGATTTTTTTACCTTTTGATTATACATTAACAAGGCTCATGACCTTAACTTTGTTTTTCTTTTTAATTATATTTCAACAAAAATATCTAATACGTTTTACTTTTTTATTGATAAAGAATAAAATATAAAATAATCTAATTAATATTGAAATAATTAAATATAAATAATATAGAAGGTGAAATGACCACGTCGACCATTTTTCTTAAAATCCACAAACTTTTAACTGTGTTTCAGTTGTGGGTCAAATTCTCCCACCCAACAGTCCAAAACTAACCAACAAAACACAGCTCAACCGTTATTGTCACTCCCATAATTACATGGATTAAAGGTCTAGGAAAGGTTGTATTTTTTTAATTTTAATTTTTTATATATTTAATAATAATTTAATTTTTTATATATTTTAAAAATTTTAATATAATTTCATAAAAATATTTTTTAAATTTTAAATTTCACGCTCGTAATGTCATGTTATTACTGAAAAAACAAAAAAAAAACTATCATATGTTAGATTTTTAATGCAAATTATCAAAATAGAAGCAAAATGAAATTTTTAATATAATTTCATAAAAATAAAAATATTTTTTGAGTTTCTTGTCTAACTCAGTGGGTAGACCACAATACTCTTAACCTTGTGGTTGTGGGATCGAGTCCCACTGAGGGCAATTCATAACGTAGGTCTTCCACGGAAGCTGCTCTCAACCTGGCGTTGGGGTCAACCTCTTACCCTATCTCCCTCTTACCCTATTACATATGCGAATAGGGTCAACTAATTTTTTAAATAGTTTGGTGACCTAAATAAAATCATAAGAATAATTGAGTGACTAAATTTATAGTTTACTCTAAATTATAACACAATTTATATCTAATTTTAAAATTAATTATTAATATTCGATCTATTGATTTAACCATATTTTATATTGCCCCTTTATCAAGTTCCCATGTGCCGTTTCTTTGAAAGATTTGAAGAATATCTTCCGTTATTCAAACACATTAAAACATATTAATTTAAACCAGATTTTATCCAAAAAAATATGATGATTGTACCAGCTCACATGAAGAAATTACAGTTATTACTACTAAGTGACAAGCAACAAGCAAAACAAGTTGCTGGAAAATAGGAGCAGAGGAAGCCCTTAGCCCCATACGTTATCTGCTTTATTTCTTTCCATATATATCTCTGTTCTTGTCTAACTAAACCCTTTTTAAAGGCTGAAACTTTGTGGCATTAGCCCTCACAATCTTTGGGGACTGCAGCAATGGCCAGTTGGGTTTTATCAGAATGTGGATTAAGACCCCTCCCCATAATCAGATTCTATTCAAAAATCAGACCTTCAATTCCTTCAAACATCAACAACAATGGACTAAAGTTGAGAACTTTACCTGGTTCTTCTCCATTGAAATTCTCCACTTGGTTTAGAAGAAGAAGCTTTGTGGGTTCTTTGAATGTGAGTGCTCCTTTGGAGGTTGAGACCATTAACGGGGTTGAAGAAGATGATGGGAAATTTGACCCTGCTGCGCCGCCTCCGTTCAACCTGGCCGACATTCGAGCTGCTATACCGAAGCATTGTTGGGTTAAGAATCCATGGAGATCCATGAGTTATGTTTTGAGAGATGTTGTTGTTGTTTTTGGTTTGGCTGCTGTTGCTGCATATTTCAATAACTGGCTTGTTTGGCCTATTTATTGGGTCGCTCAGGGAACCATGTTCTGGGCTCTTTTTGTTCTTGGTCATGACTGGTAAAATATCACTTGTCCCACCCTTGGTATTGTCCCTGCTTTTTTTTGTTTTTTTTTTCTTGAATTTGGACTTTGATATGTGTGTTTTGTTTTGTTTTTTTCTCTCTTTTCAGTGGACATGGTAGTTTCTCCAACAACACGGCATTGAACAGTGTTGCTGGTCATCTTCTTCATTCTTCAATACTTGTCCCATACCATGGATGGTTAGTGCTTTGAATACTCTTAATCTGGTCCCATATAGATCAATTTGATAACAATTTCAACGATATATCAATCTGCAGGAGAATTAGCCATAGAACACATCATCAGAATCATGGACATGCCAAGAATGACGAATCGTGGCATCCGGTAACATCGTCGATTCTTTTTTCCGATGGAATTCTTTAAGTGTAGTTTTCTTTTCAAGTGATTGTAATTTACTCTTCTGCAGTTGTCTGAGAAAATTTACCAGAGTTTAGATAATGCAACCAGATTACTAAGGTTCACCTTGCCTTTCCCCATGCTTGCTTATCCAATCTATCTGGTAAGCTCTCGATGCTATCGCCTGTTGAATCCTCATTTACGAACCTATGATTTGCGTTGATATTGATTTGTTTCGTCGACTGACACAGTGGAGTCGAAGTCCCGGGAAGAAAGGTTCACATTTTGATCCGGAAAGCGATTTGTTCGTCCCGAACGAAAGAACAGATATAATTACCTCCACTGCTTGTTGGGCAGCAATGGTTGGCTTGCTTGTGTATTTATCTTTTGCAATGGGACCAATTCAGTTGCTTAAGCTCTACGGAATTCCTTACTGGGTATTTTTCAGTCCCTTCAAACACATATTTCTTCAATGTCTTTGTTTTCCTATATTATATCTCTCGAATTTGGTATAAAATGCAGATATTCGTCATGTGGCTGGACTTGGTAACTTACCTACACCACCACGGCCATGACGAGAAGCTTCCGTGGTACCGAGGAAAGGTTCGGAAACTGTTTCAGCTACACCATGAAACATCATGTAATTGAAATTCTACTCTGCAATTGAACTGCTTTATGTTTAATAATAAACAGGAATGGAGTTATTTGAGAGGAGGGCTTACGACGCTCGATCGGGACTACGGATGGATCAACAACATCCATCACGATATCGGAACTCATGTTACACATCATCTCTTCCCCCAAATCCCACACTATCACTTAACTGAAGCCGTGAGTATATCATCATCTCCCTTTCCTACATCAATCATGTTTCCCCATACTGATAAAAAATGTTACATGAACTTGAATTGCAGACCGAAGCAGCAAAGCCGGTGCTTGGAAAATACTACCGGGAGCCACAGAAATCCAGTCCTTTCCCATTTTATTTATTCGTGATCCTCGTACGAAGCTTGAAAAAGGATCACTATGTGAGTGACAAAGGTGATGTTGTGTTCTATCAAACAGACCCTCAACTATATGGAGCTAACAAATCAGATTGAAAGCCCTGAACTTTTTTTTCTAGCCGAACTAGTTAAACCCAACAGATTTCTTCCAGCTAAACCGCAATTGCGGAAATGTAATACGGCATGTCAACCGTCATTCTTTCTCCCCCGGATTGAAAATTAGCCTGTGTTTGATGTTGACAATACCAAAATCTGCAATTTTCAGTTGGGTATCTCTCTTACTGGTGCTTATCACTCTTATCAGCATAATAGATTTTGTGGATGAAATATATAATTATAGCCAAATAAAGTGCCTTTGATTGATGGTCCTGCAAGACAAGAACAAAGTACAAACATATATGGTGTTAAAAAAATGTTGTTCTCGTAGTTTCCCAACCACATAATGACCATGTGCAATGTATGAAGGTGGTGTGTTACATGATGTCTGAACAATTTTACCTAAAAAAATCAAGGGAAAAAAAGAGAGAAAAGACTAGTTTTTCGGATACTTATAGTTGGAGGTACATTATTACAGTCGATTGTGCTTCATATAACTTATCCATGAACGAGAGCAGTCCGATTGCTATCAATGAGTTAATCAACATGGTGCAGAGTGGACTGCATTCATGAAAGAAAAGACTAGTCTGTGTTCATCAGAAATTCGGTTTTGGATGTCTCCCTCCTCATTTGCATGAAGAACTTATACAGCTGTGTTCTTGCACCAACTTTGGAAAAGCTGCTTGAAAAAAATCTCCATGAAACTATGTAAGATTGAAGCAATAGCGTTAACAGATTTATTACCTGCACCTGCACAAATTCAATGTCTGATTTATAAGGTCTTAAACTTGTGTCTAAATCATCATCCACAAAGAATCCAACAGACTCGGCCCCGTGTTCCGTTCCAACTTTTAGATTTCCTTTACAATCAAGAGTGAAATGGAGCGTTTCACCATCATCCCAATAAAATTGGCGCCGGCTTCCGCTTCGATAGCAGGCATCTCTAGCTGATGTAATACCCAACACATTTTGACCAAATGATGATTCTTTTCACTCCCTCAATCGAGTCGAACTTGACAATTTTAGACTCTTGAGTTTTCGAGTCGAGTTCAGTAATACACGAGCTCGTATACAACCCTATTTGCATCTACTTTTTTTTTTATTAATCTGGGGTAAATACAAGTAGTATCTGTTCAAAAATAACTCTTAATCATTTGACATTGGACGCTCACACCCCTAATATTCATGGTGCTCGAATCCGAGACCTTAAGAAATAACAACAATTCCTTTACCACCGAAATCTTTTGGTTCGTGCTAGTTGTATCTAACTTTATTCTTCGGATACCACCCGATTCTTAAGGTCAGCAATTTCCCCTTTCACTTGAAATCGGAAAACTCATAAGTTACCGGCAATTTGCCACGAATGAAAGTTAAAAACTTTAAGTTGGAATTGACTTCCTGCATCAAAACCAGTGCCAACAATGAACAAAAATGCAAAATAAAAGTGACAAATGTATCACACTTAAAGTTGGTTTCATACTGAGATAAAGCTAAGATACAACAGACAAAGTTCATTGCAGTGTGATTACTGATACCAAAAACAGACTGAAAATTCATTCATTGGGAAGAAAAGTTTGATTTTAACATTGATATTGGTCCCAGATACAGAACAATGTACATTAATCATTTAGGCAAAAAGGATCAAACAAATTCCCCTAGACCATAAAGTCTATAACAAAAGATGAAAAAATGAACAACTTTACATCAAAATATTACTACAAATTCATCAAACCCAGAAATAGTAAGACATTTGTATTTGTCCTACATACATCAAAATGTAGATTAGTAATTTAGATAGAGAGGGTCAAACAAATTCCCCTTGACTATAAAGTATACAACAAACCATTAAAAAGTAGGAATTTGCATCAAAGTATTACTAAAAATTCATCATACCCAGAAATACTCTAATCTTACAAGCGAGAAAACAGAGTATGGGGGGAAAGGTGAAACCTGGATGCACTATCTCTTTCCTTCTGTTTCTGGAAAACTGAATTAAACAAAACAAAATTCGTGAAATGACAAGTTGAACGGCAGGAAATCAGATGTCGATTTTATGTTTGTAGAAATGCCAAGCTAAAATGTTAAATGATTTTTTTCTAGTAAACTACGCCCATCACCACTTATCGTTCAATTATATAAATTAGACTATTTAATTATTTAAATATTATCAATCATATCAACTATTATTAATATTTGACGAAAATATTAATATTTGACGAAAATATTATTTTTATAGTTAATAAAATTAATATAATTATATATTTCATCCTTATTATTATATTCTATCAATGTGATATTAATTTTAATCTAATTTAATAAATTTAATCATAAATTATAAATTTTAAGATCTCAAAACTCACATTCATCTTGTATCAATTCATCTATATCGTAAGTTATTTTTAAATTCAATCTATTATAAAAAAAATACTAATAATATTTATCGAGAATTTAATCTTAAAAATTATTTACCTCTAGAATAATATTTTAAATAAAAAATGGAAAGAAATATTAGTATTGCTTGGTGGGATGAAGAATTAGAACCAGAGTTTTGATGAAAAGAAATGAGAAATTTGAAAGCATCAGGCCTGCCTGCCGCAACATGAAAGTGGGAATCGCACCCTAAACCGACCATAATCACCTTCTTCGTATTGTCCATTGATTACAGCCACTGAGCCACACATACATTTCAACCCGTTTGTCCTTTATGCTGTCCTACAAGAAATCCACTTGTATTCCTTCATTATTACATTTCTCCCATAAAATCTACTTCAATTTTGTGAAATTTAAATGAAAATTAAGGTTTAAATTATATTTTTAATTTATTTTAGTTTATTTAAAATTTTATTTTTGTTAAATCAAATGTTTAACGTTTTCAAAGTTATTATTTAAGGTGTTTGGTTGTAACGATCTTTAAAAAAATATTATTTAATCAATGTTTAACACACAACATTTTTTTAATTCCTTTTAATTTTATTTAAAAAAATAAAATCATTAGTTTTCTAAAATCCTCAAATAATAATTTCAGATTATCCAAAATCTTTAACCTTAAATCCCTAAATCTCATATGCCTTCGTCGAATCAATCTTGTACTTTCGTAAGTTTTCTTTAAATCTCGTTGCACAAAATTATTTATTCATCCAACCGTCACTTCTCCGTCGTAGTTGATGACACTATACAATCGTTATCACCCAAATTTTTAAGGGTGTGTTTGGTTCACGGAATGTAAGATTATCAGTGAGAATAAAAGATTACCAGAGAATTTTGTATTTTCTGTTTAGTTGGTTTAGCAGGAATGTTAGATTACCGTGTTTGGTTAAAGGAATAAAAGATTATTGTAATGTATATTTGATCAAATTATCCTTATTATATATTTGTTTTTTAACAAGTTGGAAAATATTTATATATATTTTTTAAAAATTTTAAATTCATAAAATTTATATAATTTTTTTTACAAAATTGAAAATATAAAAAGATTTAATGAAAGGGAAAAATTTTATTTTAACCCATGAACTTCATATAAAATTTTAATTATATACGTAATAGATCACTTGTTGATTGATCTCCAATCTTTAAGGGTGTGTTTGGTTGGGGGAATGTGAGATTCTCATGGGAATGGAATCCACATTCCCCCGTTTGGTTGGTCGAGAATGTCATTCCCGGTAATCTTATATTACCAATAGTGGATTTTTTAGGGGTATATTACTGGGAATGTCATTACCTCCCTTTCCTTAGGTATTGTTGGATTACCGACGTTTTGGACTAAAATGCCCTTAATTTTTTTTCTTTAAAAAATATATTTATTCTGTCATTAAATAATAATAATTTTATGAAGGTTAAATTATAATTTTATTATTAAATTATTTTAGATTTACAAAAAAAAATATAATTAAAATTTTATATGAAGTTCATGGGTTAAAATAAAATTTTACCCTTTCATTAAACATTTTTATATTTTCAATTTTGTAAAAAAATATATAAATTTTATGAATTTAAAATTTTTAAAGAAAATATATAAATATTTTCCAACTTGTTAAAAAACAAATATATAATAAGAATAATTTGATCAAATATACATTACAATAATCTTTTATTCCTTTAACCAAATACGGTAATCTAACATTCATGCTAAACCAACCAAACACAAAATACAACATTCCCAGTAATCCTATTTCCTGGTAATTTTTTATTCCCACTGGTAATCTTATATTCCGTGAACCAAACGCACCCTAAGGGAATTTAAGGGGTTTTGAGAAATTTAAAATTTTAGAGGTTTTAGAAATTATGAAATTTGATATTTTTATTTTTTTTTAAATAATATCACGTGTCAAGTAACTATTGGTTGACGAATTTTTTTAACGATCGTTGACAGAATGACCTTAAAATGATAAAATAATGAAACTTTAAATACCTTAAATAATAACATAAGAAATATTATATACTTATTTTGGTTAAAAAACTTCAAATACTTAAAATAAACGAAAAGTATAATATGAACATTTATTTTTTTTAATCAAGTCTATAAAAAGAATATATGAATTAAATCTCTAATTTAAACATAATAAAAGGATCAAAATCAAATTTGACCCAAAAAGTGAAGAGACTAGTGGGAAATCCAACAAGTTGCTAACATTTGGTTGAGAATTAGTCTAGTGGGCGGCTCTCAACATTTTCTTATCTTTTTATTATTTTATAATTTTTTAAGTATAAATTTGGTGGGTCCATTGATAAAAATCTTATCTCCCTCAACAAACATAAGGTTTGAGCCTCCATAGAATTATATAAAAAAATTATGATAACTTGGTGTGTGGGTATATTATTATATCATACGATCAACTTTGGCATATGGTCAGCTTCAAATTTCAGAACTAGCTTATGTCCTCTAATTTTCCATGATATCATCTATTGAATATATTAAGGTTCTATTTATAGATAATAGTAAAAAAATTATTAAATATTTTAGATCAAATGAAAATTTTAAAATAATTTTATAGATTAAGTTGGCTTATAAATTTATTATATGTTAAATATATTTATTTATTTATTTTTATAAATATGAAATGAGTATGAAGTAATATATGTTAAAATACTTTTAATCCTTTGATAATGAACTTTTATACTTTTGTATATGCGATGCTCAAACTCAAAATTTCAAAAGATAACAATAAATCTATTAATCATTGCATATTTAATTAAATATGTTTTAATTTTAAAAAATTACATCGTCATTTTAACAGTAACAACTGGTGGATGGTGTTGGTAATTTAAATCTACTAATAGTATAAAGAATAAATTAATGTCAAATTAAAGTAGAGAAATAAATCCCCAATTTTGAATTTTGACATAGTAAAAGGACTAAAACTATAATTGTATCATAAAATAAAATAAAATAAAATGAGAGAATGAAACATGAAACATGAAACATGAAACCTTAAAACTTATTTTATAATGAGATTAAGCAATTCTTTAGTCCTAAATTTGATCCAAAACATTTTTGTCCATATTGATTCCTAAAACTCTTAACAAGTTTTCCATTATTGGTTTGACACAATTTCAGAGTATCACTTAATCAAAATAATTAAAAATCTGATTTCACGACCGAATTAGAAAAAAACACACCAAATTTAAGGACTAAATGCCGTTTTACCCCTTTTATCAATTTTCTTGTTTGTACCAGTGATTCTGAAAATAAATAAATAAATAAACTGTGTGTACCAGTGGGAACTCAGAAAAATGATAAAAGCACCAATATATCACAACAATGGAGTTCATATGAAGATAAAAACTTAAGTAGGATTACAATGAGTCGTTGATGAAAACACAAAGAATTAAGAATATAAAGTAATAAATAAATTTATTTGTTGCTGCTTGCTTCATCTGTCTCCTAACTCTACCATGAGCAGTGAAACTTAAACCTTCTTGCTCATGTCTGTTTTACTTCTTCAACCGATCGGTTCTTCCACCGTCAACTATGGCTACCGAATACTATTACGAATAGAAGGAAAAGCTAGAGTAGAGCAAATGAGCAAAAGGGGTCTCTTCCTTATGCTACCATCTGCTCCTGTTCTATGTACATTTGTTCCACCCATGGTGGAAGCCTGTCTCGAACACCTTTACCGATGTTGTATTGCTGCTGAAGCGATGGACCTCCGGCAGGTGTAACGTCTTTCACGAGTGAATTAACCCATGACACGTCTGGCTCATCGATGTTGGATGGCGTCATCATGTCTTTTGTCGTTGTTGGTGCGGGAGTGTTGTTGCGGAACCCGAATGAAGCCGACCTCCTAAGCTTGTTCAGCTCATCTCCTTGCATACCCCAATCCAGTTTCCCATCAGGGGAGCTCCAGTCGGATATGTTTGAAGACATCATGGTCGTGGAATTCAAAGGTGCGGTGAGTCCAGCTCGACCGCGGTCTATGAAGCTCTGGCTTCGTTTTGCAAAAGCAGAAGATCTCGAATTCATTACTGCTGCTGCCACAGCAGCAGACGAATCGAAACCGAATGGTGAGGGACTCCTCGCTGGAGAGGATGGGAGATTTGTTGGATAGCTTGCACGAAGTTGGTTTTGGCGGATTTGATTCGCTGTTGGAGATTGCATCTGGCTTGGTGTTGCAGATTTTACCGAGAGTCCCTTCAATGGAGACAATAGGGAAGGATCGAGAGATCCGAATGCATCGTCGAGATTAGTAGGCTTCAAATCACCAAGCCTACTGTATTCCTTGCTCCAGCAGGATGGAGAGGAGAGACTAGAGATCTCATCCATCAATTGCTGCCGCTGCATCTGGTTCTTGAGCCCGAGTATTTCCATTTCCAAATCAAAATCTCGGGCACTAAAAGCCGTCTTCAAGCGGCTACCCGGTAGCTGCAAGGCAGGTGGGGTGAGGCTCATTTTGTTCTGCCATAAGCCCCCGTTCTTTTGAGAGGAAGAGGAAGCCAAAGGAGACATGGGAGGCGTCGAAACGGTAGGCAGAGGCAAGGATGATGAACCGAGTGCTAGAGAGCTCAAAGTTGTCATATCCACTGCATTGACCGCAGCAGACCTCGGTGAAGGCATCGCCGAACCGGTGGAAGCATACACCGGACGTAATTCCTCCGGCTTGTGAGCAAAGAAACAGACTTTGCGGGCGCAACCGATCTCGTCTTTGCAAAGTCTGGTCCGGTATTGAGCAGGATGAAGCCAGGATTCGAACACACCGTGTGCGTAATCACAAGCATCACCCTTAGGGCATGCCCCCTTACGGAACTCCGGGCACGGCACGCAGCTATAGGGGTACTTCCTTGGGTCTCGCCGCCTAGCGTTCTCGCCGGGATGAACGAAGGGACACTCGGTCCAATCATGGGAGTATGCCCTCGAGCAAGGCTTCACCTTAAAGGTATACATCCTAAATTCATCAGTTCCATATATCCCAATGTTGATATCAGGCAACGATACATCGACAGGATATTCCTTCTTCTCCGGAAGAACCGTCTTCTCCGACTCCTCTTCCGGGTTAACAGCAACAACATCACCACCTTGCAGCAGCAACTCAATCACCTTTCTCCTGGAACCACTCAAAGACTTTAAACCCGGCATGATCAGATCTACAGGTTTGTTCCCATTAGCATCAACGCAATTAACATCCGCAGACGCATCAAGCAAGAGCTTGACAATCTCGACCGAAGAACTCGCACCACCGGCAACCGCACAATGAAGGGCAGTAACTCCATCAACACCACAAGCTCCATTCACATCAGCCTCCCCACTTCCGACGATGTATTTCAAGACATCAACGCTACCAAACATGGCAGCGATTACCAGTGGTGTCCTCTCTTCGAACCCCATCTTTCTCGACCCGATTCTTCTACCGTACCAGAAGCTTGCCTCTGCAAGATCCAAACCCTTTTCTTCCACCTCCCTTCTGAAGGCCACTAGATCACCCGAGGCGGCTAATTCAAGCAAAACCGAGGATTTGTCGGCTTTAAGCTCGTCTAATTTTCCTTCCATGATGAAATTTTAAGGAACAAGTTCAGTCTTTGAACCACTGCACATCAAACAACAAAGACCTGCATAAATATTAAAAGCAACAAAAAAATAAGTTTCCTCATTCCGCAGCAATAATCCAATAACAAAAGAGAAACACCATAACATAACATACAGAAAACAGATGGCTAAGCTCATGAATTCATGAAAAACAAAGAGAATCAAACGCAAATATCGAGTCCTTTTACCTATTTGAGTGGTCTCTGATGGAGAAAACAGAGGAAGAGAAAAAGGGTACGTGTTGAAAAATGAGGAGGATTAAGAGATTTTGAGGAACTGAACAAGTTTGGGGGGCTTCTTAAGTAGGGGGTATTGCTGGTTTAAGGAGGAAGAAGGGAGGAAAGTATGGCTTTTCTTCCCCTTGCTTTCTGTTGGTGGTCAAAAGTCAAAACTTCAAAGTGAGTATTTTGAATTTTGGTTTAAAAAAAAATCTCTAGGATAAACTACATTTACTGGTCACTTTTATGTTATGTTTTCTGATTTTGACCATTCAACTCTCATAAATTATATTTTGATCATTTATGTTATCAATTTATCTCAAAATATTTAGTCTAACTCAATTATCATTATCTTGATGACGTGAAATATTAGCAAGAATATTTTATTTTTTATTTAATTCTTGAATTTTAGTTAAAATATAACATTGTTTTTCTTTCTTTTCTCTCTCTCTATCTCCTTTCTTTTTCTTCTCTTATTTCTTCCATTAAAAACCCTAATCGTCATCATCTTTATATCATCATTCAATTGACATTAAACCTTCATTCAGGCTATAAAAAGATCAAAGGATTCTTCTCTTTTTCTTCTTCTTCTTCTTCTTCTTTTTCTTTTCGATTCTCCGATTAATTTTCTTAAAAATTTGATGAAAATCTTGAGAATTTTATAAATCTCTAGAATTTCTAAGACTTAATTTAAAAAATTGGTCGTTGGATCATAGAAGAAATTGAATTGTATCTTCTCCCCAGTATTACCAATGTTTTTATCGTTCGATTTAACTCGTATCACAAAGTTCAAGATTATTGTAATTAGATTCGAACTGTAAAAAAAAGGGAGTTCACTGTAAAAGAAACAATCCAACATCAACCCGATAGGCGATATGACGATGAAACAGAAATCTGATGATTTATTTTGAAATTTTGACTTTGATTTTGAGGGTTTTTTTTAGTAAAATCCACATCGATAGAATAGTAGAAAAAAACGCTTTAATTTAATGTTGATTACTGATGAAAAGATGGGAGGAATCGACAACGAAATATATGATAGAAAAGAATAGTTATAGATTCTTTTTAACTTGTTTTTAATTTTATTAAGTAAAAGAAATAAATAATGTAGCATAATATTGGAAATAAAATAAAATAAAAGTATTAAATTTATATTTTAATTAAAATTTAAGGGTAAATTATTTTTTTATTAACATATCACGTCAGAAATGTAACGAGAGTTTAATATTCTAAATGATTATTTTACAATAAAACCATAACGTAAGAGCTTATTTTGTAATAAATTGTTAATATAGCTGATCAAAATATAATTTCCAAAAATTAAATGGCCTAAATAAAAAATAAAACAAAAATGACCGCTAATATAGTTTACCTAAAAATCAACAAACGAAGAAGATGAAATTTGAATTGAAATGCAAATGGAAATGAAATTGCAAGAGAGGTTTGATTTTGAATTTGAGTGTTTTTTTGGAGTTCCAAACTGGCTGGCCATCACGTGTGAGTCAGAGATTGGCTTTTAGGTTTCCCTCCCCAAGTGGGTACTGATTCATTGATTCCAACCTGTAACTGACTCAGTAAGTACTGAGTTGAGCTGAGCTGCCCCTTCGGTTTTAACGCGTTTCCTCATTCGCTTTAGGTGGGTCTCAAGGCCCGCACGCTCGGACAAAATACGCTTGACTAACCATTCCACTTTCTTTGCTTAGCCACATTCTACTTGAGCAATAACATAAAAAAATACAGTTAATGTTTGATTAAATAATTATTTAAATTTTTTAAAATATTTTGACATTTAATATTTTATATAATATTTAAAAAATAATAATATTTGATTAAATTATCACTTTAACTTTTATTTTTGTATTTTAGATGATTTTAGATACCAACATTTCATTTTATAGTAAATAAACTCTTATTTTGAAACATTTCTCATTAAATAACTATGCAAGACTATTCGTACCTAGTCGGTTTTGAGCAAATGAAGTTTCTCTGGGCGCACGTTAGCCGGATTAATGGGTCCTCGGTTTCTCTTCTTTGCTTCTGATATCTTCTGCATTTTTGTTAGTAGGGATTTTCGCAGTTGCTTTTTGTTTCATTGGTATGGATTCGACGAGTTTGAGTCTTGATTGGAGGAATTTATTTGTGGGATCGAAGAATCAGTCGATTGATTTTTCCCCCTGAGATTCATGATGGCGATGTTGCGGTTAAGCCTCCTCTTAAGGTAATTGAGGAAGGCATTGCTGATTGGAATCATGCCCTAGTGGGTCAGTTCATTTGCGTGGCTCCAAGATTTTTTTCATTGCAAAGTATAATCGTTTCGATTTAGGGGAATTCTTCGCATGTGAAGGTTAGTTTAGCTGGTCCTAACCTCTTTGTGTTTTCGTTTATAGATTCTAATCTGAGGGACTGGGTGCTCGAAAACGGTCCCTGGCATATCCAGAATAAACCTCTGGTTTTGAGGAGGTGGGAGCCTGGATTGCAGAGACTCAATTTTGACCTAGCTCTAATGCCTATCTGGGTTCAACTTTATAATATCCCGCTTGAGCTCTACACTCAAAAGGGACTTAGTTACATAGCTAGTGCATTAGGTAATCCTCTTTTTATGGATTCCATCACTGCATCTCGTGAGAGGCTAGAATTTGCTAAATTGTGTGTTGAGATTGAAGCTGGCAGTATTCTCCCTGATGTTATTCATGTAATACTTAAGGATGGGTCGTTTGTGGAAATAAAAGTGCATGTGCCATGGATGCCTCAGTCCTGTTCTACGTGTAAAGTGTTTGGGCATCATGTTAGCTTGTGTACTAAGGTTAGGCAAACTTTTGTTAAGCCTAAGGAAGTCCAAGTATGGAGAAGGAAAGAAGGTACCCATTCTGATGAGACTGGTAGTAAGGAACCTCTTATTACTACTGTTGAAGCTTCTTATGAGAAGTTTACTTTTGTTGATCATGGTTATGATCTCCAGGTTGAAATTGCCATGGAATCATCTGTCCATGATCTTCAGGAAGCTAGTAAGGTTACCCATCTTGCTGGTCTGGGGACTGATCCCATGCAACTTGTTACTGTTGACCAGTCTTCTGTTTTGAAGGATCATAATGGTGACTCTAGTGGGCTTGTTAGTAACTTGGGGGTCGAGGGAGTTGTCAAGCCTAGTGAATTTCCTTCTCTTCAGGATTCTCTGAAGAAGAAGACTAGGAGTAAGAAAAAAGAGAATGATGGATCCTCTAGTAAGGTAGAAAGCTTGGTGGATGGTCCCAGGAAGACCAGGGCTGCTTCCATTGGTGTAGCCTTGTTGCTTAATGAGATTAAGGCTAAGAAGATGGATCATTTGGATAAAGTGAAGAGAAATGTGATGTCTTTGGGTTCTGGTTGTGATGTTCCTTCCTTCTCTTGATAATGATAGTGAGTTTTTGGAATGTTAGGGGGATTAATAACCCCTTAAATTAGGTGAAAGTGCTTAAGAGGCTGGATTCTTGTGAAGTGGGTGTTATTTGTCTTATGGAGTCTAGGATTAGAAGGGATAACTCTGTCAAATTTTTCACTATTTTTTCTGCTGATTGGAATTTATTTGAAAATTATAATTGTGTAGATGGGGCAGATTATGGATTATTTGGAAGAAATAGCTATCTTTTTCTGTGATGAGAAGATGTGATCAGGACATTTCCATTATTGGCACTATTGATGGTCTTCAAACTGCTATTACTGCTGTTTATGGTAGTAATAGTGGTGGTACTAGAAGAGGTCTTTGGGAGCATTTGAGGACTGTTGAGAATGTTATTTGATCCTCTTCTTGGGTGATTGGTGGGGACTTCAACATAATTGCTAGAGCTGAGGAAAGTTTAGACTTTGAGGTTATGAAAGTTCATAATTCCTCTGACATGAAGGAGTTTCAAGACTGCTTGGAGGAGCTTGATCTGATGGACCATCATTTCCTTGGGCCTACCTTCACATGGTCAAATAGGCAGGAGGGTTCTTTTTTAGCTCGGAAGCTAGATAGGATTTTGGTTAATACTCAGTGGTTGCTGGATTACCCTGATTCTTTTATGGAATTCAAAGCACAAGGGGTCTCTGACCACTGCCTTGGGCTTTTATGATCTCAAAAGGGTGTTTTGATTAAGAAGCCTAGATCGTTTAAGTTCTTTAATTGTTTGGATTCACATGACAAATTCCTGACTATAGTTAAAGACTCCTGGCAAGTGCACTGTGTAGGTTCTGCCATGCAAGTTTTGTTCAGTAAAATGAGAAGGCTTAAGCCTCTCTTAAAAGAGCTCAATAAGGAGTTTTTTTCCTGATATCTCTGGTAGAATGAAGGGTAAAAGATCTAAGTTGGAGCAAATTCAGATTTTTAATCTGACTCATGTTGAGCAGAGAAGAGTTGATGAGGAGAAAAGAGTTTATGATGAGCTTGTTAACTTGGAAGTAGATGAGTCTCAGTTATATAGATAGAGAGCTAAGATGCATTAGTTGAATGAGGGAGATCTTAATACTAAATTCTTCCATCAGAGGGTTGAATCCAATAAGAAAAGAAATACCATCAGAGTAATTAAAGGTGAAGATGGTCAATTTTATGACACTTTTGAGGGCATGGCTGCTGAACTAGTGAGTTTTTTCACTAATCTAATTGGAGTTGAGGACCCTCTTGTCAAGAGCAGTTCTATTGAAGATCTGAAAGTCCTGTTAAACTACTCCCTGCCAGAAGGAGCTGCTGATTTTTTTAATTAGTGAAGTGAGTGATATGGAGGTTAAGGAGGTCCTGTTTAAGCAATGTAAGGACAAGAGCCCAGGTCTTGATGGGTACACCTCTGGGTTTTTCAAGGCTGCCTGGACATTATAGGTGCTGATTTCACTTCTGCTGTGAGGTATTTTTTCCAGGCCTCTTATTTGTTGCCTGCATTCAATGCCACTGCCATTGTTTTGGTTCCTAAATCTCTTAATGCATGTCTAGCTAAAGAATTTAGGCCTATTTCTTGTTGTTCAGTAGTTTACAAAACTATTACAAGAATTCTAGTCAACAGACTTGCTCATTTCTTTCCTAGTATGATATCACTTAGTCAGTCAGCCTTTCTTAAGGGCATGAACATTGTTGATAACACCTTGCTAGCTCATGAAATTATTAAAGGCTATTCTAGAAAGAGCCTTTCTCCTAGATGTGCAATCAAAGTTGATTTACAGAAGGCTTTTGACTCTGTTTGTTGGGATTTCTTATTGAAGGTTCTTGTTGTTATGGGTCTCCCTTGTACTTTCTGTAATTGGATTAAGGATTGTATTACTACACCTATGTTCTCTCTTTCTTTAAATGGTAGCTTGGTGGTGTTTTTTAAAGGAGCTAGGGGGATTAGGCAAGGAGATCTTTTATCTCCTTACCTATTTATTTTAGCTATGAATGTTCTGTCTTCTCTCCTAGATGCTGCTGCTAAGCATGGTATTTTTAAGTTCCACCCTAAATGCAGAAGAATATCTCTCACTCATCTCTGCTTTGCGGATGATCTACTTGTTTTTTGTCATGGCTCTTTGGGTGCTGTGTTGGGAGTGCAATGCACTTTAGATAAGTTCTATGAGCTTTCGGGACTTAAATTGAATGCCCAAAAGACATAATTATATGCTTGTGGTGTGAACGTATTTAACTTGGAGCAGATCATATTGGATACTGGGTTCAGGGTGGGACAGCTTCCTGTGAGGTATCGTGGTGTGCCCCTAGTGACCCGCAAGCTCACAGGCAAAGACTGTGAAGCACTTCTGACCAAGATAAAGGATAAGCTCAGGATTTGGTCTAACAAGAACTTGAGTTATGGTGGTAGGCTCCAATTGATTAAATATGTTTTATTCATTATTTTTAACTATTGGAGTAGGCAAATAGTTCTGCCCAAGGGAGTTATTAGGGATATTGAACGCATTTGTATGTGTTTTTTCTGGAAAGGCAGTGATTTATCAGCTAAAGGGGCTCGTGTGGGTTGGAGCCAGATTTGCTCCTTGAAGTCTGAGGGTGGTTTGGGTCTTCGAAGCCTTGTGATGTGGAATAAAGCTTGTTGTTTTCTCCTTATAAAGAACATTTTGGCTAATGAAGGCTCTCTGTGGATTGCCTGGATCAATGAATATTGCTTCAAGTCAGTTAGCATTTGGGATGTTGAGTGTAAAGCTCACTTCAATTGGGTCCTGAGCAAGCATCTAAGTATGCGTGAGGAGGCTAGACGTTTATTCCTTCCTTGTTCCAACTGGAGTCTTATTAAAGGTAAATAGATATGGGGCAATATCCGAGATTACAAGGCGAAGGTAAATTGGCACAGACTGATTTGGTTCCCTGCTCACATCCCAAAATTCTCTCTTGTCTCGTGGATGGTTATTCTCGATAGATTGCCTACTAAAGACAGGCTTGTTCGGTTTGGTTTGGCTATTGACAATGTATGTGGTTTGTGTGCTCTGGCATTGAATCTCGAGACCACCTTTTTGTTGAATGCCCTTTTGCAAAAGAAGTGTGGGGTATTGTTTTAATTACTTGCGATGTTCGTTATGACCTTAACAGTTGGGGTGACATTTTCAACTGGTTGATTGCAAATTTGAAGGGCAAATCCCTCAGAGTTCATATCATGAAGCTTGCTTGGACTGGTCTGCTGTATTTTGTTTGGGAAGAGCGTAATCATAGACTCTTTCGAGGCTCGTCTCGCTCGGTTGATGTAGTCGTAAATAGCATAAAAGAGGATGTTAGAGTCAAATTGTGTAGATTTGGTTGTCCTAGGATTGAAGATGTTAACAGACATTTATATTTGAACTGGGGTCTGTCTTGAGGTTCTTTGTTGGATGTAGCAGCTAGGCTGCTTTCTTGGATGGAATATAAATTACTTATCTAAAAAATCTATGCAAGACTAAAAAAAAGAGGATTGTGCTATCTCTCCGGTTTTCTTTTTCATAACAATAGTTCATCGCCGTTTTCAACTTATCTACTATCAATTTCTCATCCATCAACAAATAATGAAGGCTCTCTAACCAAATCAAAAGATTAAACAACTAAAACCACCATAACTCAATTTTTCCGATTAACGTATTCACATTCTAAAATTGTATCCAATTACTTTTGATGGTTTTATTCTAGTTTAGAATATTAAACTTCAGTCTAATCATGAAATACATATTTTACAATATCAAAATTTAGAAATTAATCTCTCAACTTTATTTTTTAGAACTTTGGTCCATACTTAACAGAAAATAGGTGTTGTGGCATTAGTTGCGTATAACATTTATAACCATCAACACTGATTTCAGGTTGTCTTCCTCTGCTGGTATGCCGACATCCATATAATTTATTAATTATGTTGTAATAACAGTTGAGGGATTATATACCATGCTATATTCAATGTTTATTTTAATTATTTTTATATTACATGTGTTGTCCAAAGTAATCAAAGTTCAATCGTTTATAATTTATATGTGACCACGACAGCTAGCAATTGCATATTGTATATTGGCACTATCATCGATACACAAATTTTTTATATTATAAAATGAATTTGTAAATTTTTTCAAAGTAACGAATTGGAAAAAATATTATAAATAAAAACATATTATTAATATAAAATAAATTAATCTAAAATATAAGAATTTAAAATTTTCGATTGTTTGCCCCTTCAGTCCATCCCTACTTAAACTTCACACCATTCGTTCTCAATCCTCGCTAAACCCTACCAACAGCCGCTGATTCGAGCCTCTTCGAATCGAACCTTATATCGTTAGATCAATTCATTCGAATATTATGACCACTAACCTAGTCGGTCCTTATCACCTTCATGGTTCAACCACTCTTGACAAAAGGGGGGGGGGGAAGAAAACATGTTGTTGCAAAGACACCAGTCGAAACCCCAGACACAAGAGGAAGAAGAAGAGAACACTGGTGTGCTTCTGTTCAGAGATGGCGGAAATGAACGGCAATGATGGCGGCCAGGAGCGAAAGTATGATCCTAAATTAGGGGTGAAATTATAAAATTCTATGAGAGCAAAAATAAATTAAAAATATAAAAAATATAAAAATATATATATAATTTGAAATTTTTAGGAACCACTACCCCTACCTATCTCCTTTAATTCATCCCTGATGATGGCCGTGCATGCAAATTCAAACTGAACCCGGGTTCCAAGCGCAAACACAACAGCAGAATGGCCCATTTTGTTTTGATGTTAATTTAAACATAGTCTCTTAAAATCATATTTTTTTAAAAAAAATCAATTTTTTTGAAAAGATGATTTAATGGATATTCAATCGTGCTCAACTATAAATGATTGATGAAAATTTTGATTTTTAAGAATATATATTTTTAAAGAAAATATATATTTTCGAACTGAAAATTTTCGATATTTGTTATTGTTCTTTGGGTCAATTGGACTCAACTTCTTTTTATTCTTGTAATTACTACTAAATCTAATCATTTTAGTAGCCATATAAAAAGCACCATATAAATATTACATATTCTATAAACAAGATAAATGATGTAATAAAATAATATCATTTAAATAGGATGATAAAAATTCAGTTTTTATAAAATTGTAAAATTATAAAATAATACTATAATAAAATAGTAAAAGTACTTGTCTTGTTCCTCTATTATAGGGGACTATATCAATTTAGTTTCTCTATTGTTTATTATTATTATTATTATTTAATTTGATATAACTAGAGGGTAATATATGTTTAAAGATAATTTCAATCATTTAATTTTAGATACTTATATCCTGACATTTATGTTTAAAAACAACAATGTATGTAGCATCGATATCACTTGATTCGTGCTAGTCTCTCTACTGTTAATGTATTGGTTTGGTCCCTTTATTATAATGATTGGTTTAAATTAGTCTCTATTATTAAATGGATCAATAGACACCGCCAAACCATATGAAATTTAACGGAAACAGGGACGAAGCTAGGGGAGGCAGGAGTCAGGCCTCAGGACCCAGGGACATCTAGGGATGGCAACTTAATCCGAATCCGACGGGTTCTGATCCGACCCGATCGGGTCGTATTTTTTTAAAAAAAATTGGGTTCGGGTCGGGTCGGGTCGGTTTTTTTAAAATGTACTGTTCGGGTCGAGTCGGGTTTAGGGTGAAAAAAATCCGACCCGACCCGAAAATATATATAATTTTATCATATATATTTAGGGATAATTACAATAATGTCCCTCCATATATAATTTTTTTCAATTAAGTCACTGTTTTCATTGAATAAAATTTTTTTATTATTATTTCGGGTCGGGTCGGGTCGGGTTTCTAAGTCATATATTCGGGTCGGGTCGGGTGAAACCTTAATTTCGTCGGGTCGGGTCGGGTCACGGGTGAAAACCCCTTTCTTCTAGGGTCGGGTCGGGTGGCCCAAAAACCCGACCCGACCCATTGCCATCCCTAGGGACATCCTTCGTTAAAAGGGCTAATTTCATTTTTAGTCCCTCTTAAGTATTAAAAGTTTAATATAAACCTATTATTCCAATGATTACATTAAAAGTTCTCATTTTGACCACAATTATATAATCTAGTTCCTTTCAAATTAATGTTTTAACTTTAGTCCCTCTAAAAATTTTAAAATTAAACTCAACTTTCATACACAAATTTTTTAACTTCGTCCTTGACATTTTTTTCTCAACAATACCTTTATTGCCCAACGGATCAAAGTTTTTTCCCCCTTAAAATTTAAAATTTAATCCCTTATTAGAAAAATTTTAAAAAAATGAAACGTAGTCTTCATGTCAAAGCTTATCCAAAATTGGACTAAAATTGGCTTTGAGTGCATGATTTATTTTACAATTAGTCTTATGAAAATTCCAAAAATTGTGACAATTTCCCCACGTGCTTAGACGTATTCAACTAGATTTCCTTTTTTTTATCAACTTGATTAAAAACTAGATTACATTTGTCGAACCAAATTCAAAGCAAAAGTGTGTTCACATTTCATTCTGAGCAATAATTAATAAATATAACAAAATAATAATAATAAATAAATAATAGCTATTGTCAAAGGTTGTCGACAATGACAACTAGAAATCGAAATCAAGACCAAGTTGTCTCTATTATTTCTTTGTTAGGCCAAGCTCATAGACGATTGGGATGAGTTTTGTGTAAAAGGGAGTCGAGATCGAACTATTTTCACGTAAACTACTTATTTGATCACTAGTTTATTTAGTACTTCTGTTTTAGTTATAGAATTATTTTCTAATCATACATAACATTATGTTTCTTTTTTATTTCATTAATCGATAAAAATTAAACGATGATACGAACATGATATTTATTACTATTTTTAAATTTTTACGTTGATTTCTCTTTCGTTTTTAATAATCTAATAGTACTTTTAATTGATTTTGTTCGATCAATATAACAATGACATATATCATCACCTTATAAGGATAAAATCAAAGAAAACTTGAAATGTTGAAAGAGAGAATTGATCCCAACACTCTTCAGAAAGGGCCCAAACACTTGGTCATTGGACTAGACATGTTACTTATGATATTTCCATAAAAAAATTATATTTAAATTATACAAAATATCGTCGGCAACTCATAGAGTAAGGGGTTAAAAGTTTCAATTGACACGTTCTTTCTCCTTAAGTTGTGTTCAATACTTATTAGGTGTAAAATTCTCTTTTCCCTCCTCCTAATTAGAAATTGTTCAAAAAAATTATACAAATTATCATCATAAAATAAATAATTCTATTTTTAACTAGTTTTCGGTGATTACAAAATAATGTATATTTATGATTTTTTTGTCATTAACGACGCACACACACCCTATAAATACATGTGCTTAAATCTTATACCTGTAAGGAAAATAACACTTCATCTTACCTACCTGTAAGGAAAATAATGCTTCATCTTACCACAAGATTACTTTATAAGTTCATAAGGGAAAAAGAAAAAGGATGAGAAAGTACATTTGATCAATTTATCAATATGCTCATATTTATTTTATCATATTTAGGGACGAAGATATGTTTTGTCCCGGGGCCACTATCTTTTTTTATAATTTAAAAATATACATGGATAAATACTAAATTAGACCTTGTGATTTTAGTTTATTTTGATTTTACGCTTCATTTTTATGGTTAACTATACTTTTTTTGCCTCAATTTTTATGATTAATTATACTTTAATTTCCTTGAATTACTATTCTGGCTCTATCTCTCCTCATATTTTTCTTAAGTTATGAGTTTTAAACTTGCTAGGAGCATTATTCTTTCATCTCTAGATAAGGTTAATATTAAATTTCAAATTTATAAAATAAAAAAAATTAAGAAAAGGTTACATGTTAGTACATAATTGAATCAATTATTGCATGAGATAAGAATCATGAAAATATTAGTATTCAACTCAATAATATATTCATAAATTATCAATCTGTCATTGTATCATCATGAATCTTCCTTAATTTTATTATTGATAATTTGTCCACCAATTTTGAATCTATCTTCATAAAAATTAAATCAAACTTAAAATAAGTATTCCTTTATTTCCCAATCATTTTCACCTTAATGATATCAATGTAGTGATGATTTGGTCCTTTTAAATATTAATTATTTAATTTAATCCCTTTTAAAATTAAACCCTTTAATTTTGACCCTTCTATTTTTTTTTTAAGTTTTATCACACCCCTACACTAAGTTTGTGACCAAATCATTTTATGCATAATGAGAAAAAAATATTTCTAATATTTAACTAAATAGACACTTGTCCTTAATCTTTTTTGAAGCACTTTATCCTCCAACGTTTCATCTTTTGGTAAAAATACCCCTTTATTGATCAAAATAGTT